CACATTCATTGGGGAGGTCATTAGGTAAAAATGCATGAAAATTTTTAATGCATCTAGTATTATACAAGGTAGATTTTTCTTTAAAAAATACTGTACATTGGTAGGACATGAAATTTTGGAAAAAGGAACAGTTCTTGAATCAAGGGATTTTATTGATATGATAATTATAAGTATCTATTAAAATTTATCTATTGATTTGCAACAAAAAAAGGTTCAATATTAAATAATAATAATGACTTATTTATTGTGAATAGTTTTGAGTATGATTTGATTATTTCTCAAACTGAAACTTGTTATTATTCCTTTTACACAAGAAAAGTAACTGTCAATATTGTCAACTAATACCATGTATTTTGGTGAGTTAGTCAACTTTATCAACCCTAGTACTATCTACATTTGTGCAATATTAATAATATTAATAAAAATAAGTAAAAATAGTAATTATTATTTTTCAGTCAAACAATATTAATGTAGTATTAATTAATTATTAAGCAAAGGAACATTATTGGAATTAGTGCTCAGGTATCAAATATTAAAATTTATGGACATAATATTACAGCAGGGAAAATTTCCTGATGTAGAGTTTGGATATATCATATTTTAATTTTTAATTGCATATATCATTGAAGATTAAATCTCTTGAATCAAAAAATGTTTAAAAGAAATGAACATGCTAATAAAGTCCTATTGCCCAAATCAAACCACCTCTCATTGTGTTTGAAATCCATTTAGCCTCTTGAGGATCTAAAGAAATGCCAAGCCTGCATTGCTCAAATAACCATAAAGCAATGATTTTTTCGTTACCACCACACATCTGCATGTCCATTGAAATGTCAAATTTTCTCCTCACTTAATCTATTATATGATTCTATAAGAGTTTCAAAAGTTTTATCCTTACCGAGATATAGCAATACTTGGGAGAATTATAAATCTGCCTTTTAAACTCAGCAATGTAACTGGTCCAGTATAATTCGCCATTTTATAATTCCACTGTTATGCTATTGGATCAACTGGTTTTGAATATCACTTGACTTTTGTCAATTTGGATTTTTTGCAAGTGAATAATGCCTATTTTTTGTTTGGAATTTCTAATATATTTGTAATAATGATCCCCACCAACATCAATAGCTATAGAACTCACCATTTCTACTTCTATAAGGTTTACCAGAACCAGATCGTCCCTTTGAAGGCATAATCTTGCTTTAATAATTCTGGCCTTGTGGGAGTTTCCATTTTGTTCCATAGGCTCTTTTCAAGCAGTTATAGAGACAATCATTTAGGCCGTTGTCTTGTTAGTATAACAACCCCGGCTAGAATAATTGGTTTGTGAACATAAAGCCAAACCTTGTTATAACGAATTTTGAACTAGTACAAATTTAAAAAGTATCCTCAGGAATATCCAATCAAAATACAATATTTCTGCGGATACTCTCTAAACTGTACTAGTTCGAAATTCGTTATAACAAGGTCTGAATGTATAAACAGAATATATCAAGTTTCTGGATTTAAGGGCTTTTTTTCTAGATCTGGCATTTGTGATTCAACATAATGGTCTGCAAGTGTGAATATACATGGGATGGTAATTATCTAATTCGTAATTTGCAATTATCGTAATTTATTACCACTTTCCCTCTCTAAAAGCAGAATTATGAAATTAATTACTATTACAGGTGACGAAACTAATTATGGGTGACGAAATTAATTATGAATTGATTATTGGAAATATCATAATACTAATACAGGATAAATGTCACTTGAAACCAAAGAAACTGAAAATTTTCTATACAACCCATTGTTAACACTACACTGATTAACCAACGTCAAAACTTTCATTTTATACCAAAGCAAATAAACAAAACCTCAGAGTTCTCTACCACTCTGATAACCAAATGGACAATTAAATCCTACTGTTTAATTTCCGACTACAAAAGTGTTTTTATAAGCGAAATAAAGAATTTATTTATTTATTATTATGTGTGAAATTATTTTTACAAATGAATTAAATTAACGATAATAAATAAATATTTCTATCGCACCCAAGTGACTAAGACAAAAGATAAACTAATAAAATCATCAAGTTATTTGCTAAGCAATTTATTTGATCAAGCCATTTTCTAAGTGATTTATTTGGCTAAGCCATTCATTGGTCACATTACTACACTTAGTCACGTGGGGTGCGAATAACAATTCCCTATTTATTTATTTATTATTTTAATTTTTTAGTAAAATAAAATCCAACCAATTGAAACATTATTTTAACATTTAATGAAGTATTCTTTTACATGTTAACTTACATATTCAATAATTGATTTGTGGGTATGACCATCAAGAAAAAAAAATCAATATCAATATCAACAATATCAACTAATGGGTAATAATATTATTATCAATAATAACTCTATTGTTCATTGTGAAAATAAATTTTAAATTGGTAATTCATAAATTAAATAATTACTTGTTATATGAAAAATTTTTTTTTTTTGAAGTGAGCTGAGCGTGTTTGATTTTTAGGCCAATCAAAATTTACGTGATATTTGGTGACAACTTTTAACCAATCAAATGTGAATCGATAAGAATATATAGATTGATTATTATTATTATTATTATTATTATTATTGTCCAATAATCGTTCAGTGCAGATTTATCTCATCTCTTGTTTTTTTTTTGGTCATCAATAAAATTGGGTCATATTAATATGCGATTTTTCAAAACCTCTCAAGTGTTGGTTTGATAGATAGTTAATGTATGCAGCAAGCAGTCTCCCTTAATCTCTAGATACATAAAAGACAAAACAAAGAAACAACTTGCAAGAAACATCAATATAGAGAAGCCTTTTAAGGTTAACTCATGGCTATATATAAACTTCGCAAGAACTTATTCATAATAACTGACTTCATATAAGATCACCATTATCAAGATATTCATTGCACCCTATTGTAAAATTCAATACTTGAAATAATCAAAAAGTTTAATAGATATCTTAAAAAAAAAAAATACTAGCCAAGAAAGATACAAATGCTCCTTCTGCGACTATTAAGTTAACAATCATAAAGATAAAATCAAGACCTAATTATAGGATGAATTACGCTCACATAAAAAGTCACAATTGATAGTTAGCGATGATTCTCGTGAGGGTCACAGAAACGACATTCAAATGAGATAAACCTATCATTGCTTTATTTTAACTTAAAGTACAAATATTAGAAATATAAAAACTTTAAACTATTCACGGGAAAAAATATTGAAAGCATAGAACAACTCATTGGGTAGTGATGCGAAAGCTTTGGGCCAAGTAACAGAGAGTCTTCATGGCAATTTAGTTAGTCACACTAGCATCACAAAAAAATATAATTAAATCTTTGGTACAAGGATGAAATAGTTATACTTTTTTAGCAATCAAATAAAATCTCATCTGTTTGCATTAAGATAATGACATTGAAAATAACAACGATGGCGAATCCATATGCGTGGATGTTATTTTTTTATAGATTCTTTATAATAATATAGAATTCTGGTCTAATCGCGCATTCTCTTTACTGTTCATTTTTCATAGTAATAGGTATATATATATAACAAGCCATCAGAGAAAGAATCACTAAAATAGGTTAAGGCAACAAAGATCCAAGAAATAGTAGTAGTAATAGTACCGACAAAATAGAAATCTTTACATACAAAGTCATTAGCTATCTTGATGGTCGATTTACTTGATCGGCTAGGGAAGCCTTATTGAAATACAAGGTCCAAAGTTCCTTTGTACAATCTGTACAATGAGAAAGGTTTCTGTGTCTTTAAAAAATATTCAGAATGGTGACCATAATAGTAATGCTTCACCACGACTGTCTTCCAACAAAAAAGCAATGATAAAAATATTTGACTACATATCTGATAAGTGACATATATTATTATTTTAATAGATAAAAGGTTTCTCGCAATCATAGTTTTTGTTTGGAATCTGTTAATCATAAAAAAAAACAAGAAAATACATTGCAATCGTGAATTGATTGATGTGAGCAACATTGCCAAGAGAATTCATTTACATGTCACAATAAAAACCTTTTAAAAGGATTCAAAGAGACATGACATATCATCACCATGCACGGGCATTTAGATTTAGATTTTTAGATTTATTGTTGACATGTCAACTTATATAGGTTTTAATTAACACTTAGGTTAGCAGAGCTAAGGATCACTTGCAGAAAACCATCCTGACGATTGTCAGAAAGAAAGCTCCGCGTTCAATCATCACGATTACTGCAGAACACATTCAATGACATGCTCATCAGATCGCATTGCTTAGATTATTTTAAAAAAAATAATAAATACTAATGACCTCTTGATATAAAGCAAAGAGACAAAAAAAAACTGACACCGATTATCAAATAATATTAGGAGAGAGATTTTTGGCCTATATGAAGAGCTGCCCATGCTGTCTATTAAGCAATCAATTTATATAATAATGGTCCCTTGATCTCATATAACCGCTAAGGAAGCGGGAAAAATAGGATAATAGATCCCAATTGGCATCAATGACAATGATGTTCATGGGCGGCCTCTTTTACAAGATTTTAGATCTTGAAAAACAAAAAATACGGTATTATGAGAATGATTTCAAATATCGATGGTTTAATATTGTAAGAATACGGTAGATTAAATAATATAGAGATTACAAAGTCAATCATGAATATGTGATAATCTTCCGGAAAAATGATAAAAGATATATAGAAAGAGATCAATTTGAAAAATGTCAAGAGAAATTGACAAAAATGTATCAAAGAAACAAATAAATTTATTCATAAATAAAATAAAATTTTGAAAACAAAAAGCATTGAACATTAATATTACACATATGTATGTATGTATATGATATTAAATTAATTATTATTGTCTAATGTTGATGATGTTTATGATAATGTTGATGATGATTATGATTGTTTTACTGCCAAAGACGAGATTTGTTTCTCTCTTTTCCCTAACAAAAGTTTAATATAATTATAAGTTATTTATGGTTGTGATTGTGACTGAAGCAGATCCTTTCTACGAATTTCCTCAAAATATGTATGATGTAGTGCATCCTCGGCACTAATACGGTTTTCAGGTACATATTCAATCAATTGCTGGAAAAAATAAAATAAAAATAAAATAAATAAATAAATAAATTTGAATTATGGATAAAAAAAACTTTTTTGTTTGATTTCCTCATTTTCTTTTTCTTACACTTAATAAATCAAGTCCCAAATTGTCAAGTTTAGGTAAATGTGAATCTAGTGACATTTGAGGATAAATCGGAAAATCACTCTACATAAAAATAAAATAAAATATATTCAATAACATATTCTTTATATTCATATAATAATGGATTTTCTTTTTTAAAAAAAAAATATACCTTGTACTCTGGTAATTGTGAAACTCTCGGCCATGTTTCTTCTGTTGGAGTTCCTAAAATTGTTCAAAGGTAGTTAAAAAGAAATATACACATTATACAATAAATATAGAAACATACAATATATATATATATCATGATAAAGGAAAGGATATTTAAATATTCGTAATAATTGATCTTTGATCGAACTCCCAGGGAATAAAGGTCTTCCTGATGCCATTTCTTAAAAAAGAAATAAAAAAAAAACCAAGTTAATTTATTAATCGTAGTTATAACCATAGTTATACCTTATAGTTAATGATTATTCCTACATACCAGCAAATATACAACCAGCCGACCATACATCGATAGATGTTGAATATTGTCTGGAACCCATTAATACATCTGGTGCTCTATACCATAATGTCACAACCTAAAATAAATAAATTGAAAATTAAGTTTATGCTCTCTTTTGATATAATCAATAAATTTTTGTTTTTAAAACAATAATAAAAACCTCGTGAGAATAACTTCGAACTGGAATTCCAAAAGCACGTGCTAAACCAAAATCCGCTAATTTCAATTCACCTTTCTATTAAATAAATAAATAACTAATTAATTAATTAGCTAACTATTGATTTTTTTTTAAATATATAGTAAAATTGTGAGAATATTAAGTTTGACCTTATTAATAAGTAAATTTTGTGGTTTCAAATCCTATTAAATAAATAAATAAATAAATAAGTAAATAAATAATTATGTATAATCATTTAAATATATGAAGTTGGTGGACAAGAAAAAAGAATTTATTTTTTGTTTTCTAGTCATAACCGTTTTTTTTTAAAGGTGTAAGTTCCCTTGAATATATATATATATATATCAATGATCTTTTTTTATTATTATTAATTTCTCAAAAAACTGTTTTCTCATCATAATATATATGTATATTATAGATTTACCCACCCTATGTAAAACTCGATGTTCATGACAAAATGCGATTCCTTTAAGAAGTTGATACATTAATTGCTTTTATCAAATGCAAAATTTATATATAAAAATTAATTGATCAATTGATTATATAATAAATCACACACCACACAAAAAACCTAAATCAAATAAAATACCTTGATTGTGACAATTTCTAAATCACCAGCATAGTTATCCAGAAATTTTTTTAAATCGGAATCCAAATATTCAAATACCAGTGTTAATTTTTTTTCTGTATGTAAAACATCATAAAGCCTTTTGTTTGAGATAGAAGGAATAAAATTAAATATAATGATAATAAAAATAACATAATCGAACAAATCAAACAAATATATTTTTTCATTTACCTACCTTACTATATTAGGATGCTTTAATTCTTTTAATAATGATATTTCACGTATCGCTGTACATGGCACCTAATATATTTATTTTAGATAAATAGTTATAAAAACATATAAAAACATAGCTCATCCTAATATATCAAATATTTCATCAAAAAAGTATAAAATTCTTCTTCTTACGCCTTCCTCTTCATTGTCTAGCCTTATACGTTTTAATGCAACCACATCGTTCGTTTCTCTATTTTGTGCCTTATATACAATACCATAAGTTCCTTTTTATATAAACATATATTTTTGATTTGATAAATTGAAATATAATAATAACAACAATGACAATAATAATAAACAAAATTTATTATTATTAATAAGTATAGAACCATCATATAGATAGATACCTTCTCCTAATTTTTCAATTTTCTGTTAAATGGAAAAGTAAGAATTCAATGGACAAATAAATGAAATAAAAAATTTAAATAGAATTTGAAATCTTGCCTGATATTTGTCCATATAATATTTAATTATTAATATTTTAAAATTGTCAAGAAATGCTTAATATTAAAGTCAAGAGAGTAAGTAAATGGACATACTAGTGGATATTGCAGATCAAGAATTATTATTTATATATATTAAAAAATTCGAATCGTGTAACGTCCAAATTTTTCCTAATGAATAAGTATTATTTTTATATTATTTTTATATTATTTTTATATTGAAAGGAGCTCTTTATATAAATCTACGTCTATTCACAAATGTAATTATGTTTTTACTTAAATAAATGGGTTTTTTTTTCAATTTTGTCATAAATAAAAAAAAAACTTGGTAATGATTTAAGCATTTTAACATAAAGTAAAATAGTAATTGTAATTGTAATACCTATATTAATATTACGAATTTGGTTTCCCGTTAAAAACTTGTTTGAAAAGTTTACCGGAAATTGATCGGATGTTGAACATATTGGAAATTGTCCAGTCAAATTTGGATGTTCTCTAAATTTGTAGATGTAAATCATAACCAAAATAATTTAATTACCTTGATCTTCAGCACGTAATAAACAAATTTTCTTTTTGGGAAATTAAATAATAATCATTATTGGGTTTAAGTAACATGGGCAAATCCAACTGGGGAGTTTTGTGTCCCATTCTATTGAAAGGACGCTATTGCTATATAATTTTTATGAAAACAGATACCACCAGTAGCAAAATTATAATGCACAATTACTATTAATCCCATGCTTACATTTTCTAGAACCAGTAAAAAAATAAATAACCAAATTAAGCAAAAATGAAGGCACCAAAACTCAATAGTATTTGTCCAAAAGAATTTTTTGGTTGAGCAGTATCAGCGTTGATTCAACCTAAACGAGAGGGAATAAAGGGTCAGATAATTGTGGATAGAAATTGACCAAAGACTGGCAATAAAACTTCTTTGAGGGCCCAATTTTTTAAAAACAAATAATAGAAAATTATCCTGTTTTAAAAAGTTCTTTATTACGAGAATCATTAAAGATTTTTGTGTGATCGTGTTGAGTAAACTCACTCAAGTCAAATTAGTTTTCTTATTAGATTAAATTTCTCTCCGGCAAGTAAGCAAATACGAGAAAGTCATTAACTTTGGACTCTTTATCTTCTTTTTTTTATTCTTGTGCTAATGGTCCATCATTTTATTTCTATTGTTCCTTCCTTGGAGGGCACTTTTTTTCAATAGAAATTTTTATATTTGGACATTATCACCTTTGGCAACGATAGCACAAAGTTTTATTTGTAAGTTGACTCGTTCTCATTCACTGTCTGAATTCCATACGGATCATCACCTCTGTTTAAAATACAAGTGATCGTATATAATGTGGCCAATGTAAGAATTGATGATGTTAAAGTTTGTACAGGTTGATTAGAGATGTTGGGCCAGAACAGGTCGATATAAATAAGTCATAAATTATAAAAGAAAAGATTCTGTTAACGACCGTCGTTTTGATTGTTAATAATGTTTATATTAGCTTCTAACATTTTAAATAATATAAGGATTTTTATGGTCAAGTTAATTTTCATTTTCCAAAATATTAAAATATAATTCTGATTTTGTTTTTTTCAATGTACTTGAAATTTCATTATCGTCATATGATTCCAAATAAAGTATTAAATTCTAAAAATCTTCATATATTCTTTGATATTGCATATTTGAGATTTGTTGATGAAAGACTAGACAATATAAGCTATGCTAATACAATCAACCTTTCTCTTGACCAGCTTTCCCTCACACAGAGACTTTTTAAAAAACAAATACAAGGGTTAATAATCGATATATAATCAGTATATATTTTGATCTTAATAATTACGCCAAACTGCCGGTCACTACCACGACAATAGTTTCGGTCATCAAAACAGCCAGGAAATAATCACATTACTATTACATAATCGAAAACTCTGGGGACAGTAATTTAATCAAACTCGGGTATTGTCAGTAATAATAGTTTTGCTGACCAAAATTTAATAGAATAATAACAATGATATGATTGATCAGAGTCCAATTATTTCTACGAGCATTAATCATCGGAACAATAATTTTGTTGGTCAAAATATTCATCAAAATTCTATTGTCGCGAATGATTTTCAATTGGTTTATTATTTTATTCTGTGACAATTACAATGTAATTTTTTTATTTTGTTTGTAAATCCGGTTGGGTTAATCACAAACATATAATAATTTACTGTGCTCAGTCGAGAAATATATATATAACTAACGCTTTGGTACATAATTATTTTCGAATACCAAATAGCAATTGTGATACACGGTACGTAATTACGTATTAGTATTATTAGCATTTATCCACGATTTTACTATAATAAAATTGTTGGGAAAGATTGGAATGCAAAAAATAAATTTTTAATTACAGACTGTAATTGATTGATTGACTGATAATTTATTTTTTATTATTATCTTGATTATCATAATCAATCATTCTCATCAAAAAACATGTTTATATAAAAAGTAAAATCAAACTATTTTTTCTTTAACGCACAATTCTCTCTTTTTTTTTTTTTAGTTATAAAATCATTAATATTATAAAATTAAAAAAAATCAAATTTAAAATTCGATTAATATAGTAATAACATTTGAGTAGGGAAGGGTAGTATTAGTAGGAGACGAAATTTTGCTTTAGAAAACAACATTTATTTTTATTGAATTTGATGTACAAGAAAAAACTTAAAATAGAAGTTATTGTAGTGGGTCATGCACCTTTTCTTAAAACATATGCAAGATTCTAGGATACAGCAGTGTCTAGAAGGTGTTCGCTTTAGGCGCCCTTCGTTCAATGCCATTGCTAGGCTTCTTTTAACATTACAGAATACCAATTGAATATAAGAAAGAACATTGGCAGCTGTTATATTAAATCAACACTCTATGATTATCTCGGGTTTGATTTAACTTTAGGCATTATTATATAGGGATATTTTAGAATCTTTAATTTTACGTGTTTATCAATTAAAAAACAAACAAATATGAGCAAAAGCAAACCGCCCTTAAAAGATATTATGATTCATAGATGCTTGAATCAATACAACATGTAGATTGAAGCGCTTTATTTATTCCGCAAGGCTTTGATTTTTGAAATGTTCGATCGTAATGAATGTCATATGATGATATTAACGATAACTTTATCAGGGCAAACATTTTCATTATGAAATAGTTCAACAAGAAGAAGGGAATGAATATTTTTCAAATGGTGATCAAAGTGTTATTCCGGTTTAACAATAATAATAAAATTCAAAGAAAATAAATTTTTATGCTATTAGATTTACGAACCTTCAATAGATTTGTTATTTAGGAAATAATAAAAAGTCAAAAGGGGTCAAGAAGTGAAAGGAGGGTGAGAGTAATGTCAATAAGAACAACAGTAATGCTCTAGGTATTATATGAGCAAGTATTATTAGAGCAATGTTAGAAACCATTGATTCGAAGTTCTAGTTTTTCTATAGTTTATAAAGAATTAAATAATGAGTCTCGTCCCATGGGGTGCTACAATCAAGAAAATCAGTTATGGTCGGCTCGGTTTAAAAACATCCTAAAGTTTGCACAAATTTTAATAAATATTAAAGTCACTTTCGTCCTAATAGTTGATAGTGTAGGTCTATAGCTTTAATGTAATAGATAGGTTTCTCAAAAAATTTATTAGTTGTAAAGTTCCATTCTTTTTTTAGTACATGTAGTTATTTTACTAATAAAGAAAAATCGCTTTTGTTGTAAACTGTTATAACTCATCATATTGATGAGATTTTTTAATTATGAAAAATGTAGAACATCTCGCTAAAACGTAACAGTGCCACAATATCTATTAACTTTCATATTGCAAATGTAATTTTTGCCATAAATTTTAGATGCCTATTACATAAACTGCTATAACTCTCATCATACAGATGAAATTTTTAAAAATGCTTTGAGCTCGCAGAACATATACCTATAACGTAACGGAGCCATTATTTTAAAAATATTGACGTACTTTCATATTGAAAATATTTTTAATTATTTTTGTCCTCCAAAGTAAACCATGTTTGATTTTATACATTTGCTCATACAAATTTTGAAGTTTCTAGTAACATTCCCTTCACACATATTTAATTTTCTGAGAATTTTCGGCAGCTCGCCTAATGTTGTTCTGCCTGGAAAACATAATGATGCATTCTAAAAATCATTCAGAAATAATAAAATGATCCAGAAAAATTTGTTCATACATTACACTAAGCAAATTTAAAATATTCTTAGAAATACTACACTCAGTAATAGTCTCACCTATAATTCTAGCTGTTTCTAAAGCTCACTATATGAGTACTTCTTGAAGTTTAATATCCATTTCTTCCACTTTCTCATCAATTACAAAACAATAATGTGGTGCAGCTATTGGTTCAGGTGACAAATCATTGAAAACACCATTTAACAACTCTGTTGAAACAATTTCATTATCTGACGTGATCTCAGATGCTATTCTACCCTAGGACTCAACCACCCTGTTCCCTGACATGTTCAAGTTCATCAAGTTGAAGAACTGGTTCTGCTTGACGAATCCTGTTTTTTAATGATTTACTATGTTCTAATAAATTTGTGTAATTTTCTGTTATTGATGGTCTTGATTAATCAGATGTCTAAAAATGAGAAGACAAATGTTGTTGATATTGATTTTAAAAATCTAATGGACCTAAAGAAAAAATATATTTATTACTCGCATTCTTTAAAAGTTAAATTTTTCAACGTCGACGCTCATACGTACTATTCGATCCAATGGCACACCATTTGAATGTTTTGCCTGGTTTCAAATTTGTGCGTTTTGTTTGTAATATTATTTAAGCGCGTCCACGCAGTGTAAAAAAAAGACGCATGATAAGGATAATCTTGAATAAAATTATAAACCATATCCATAACAAAAGGTTGATGCTCGATATCTCCAACAGGATCAAGATTTAGACATACATTGTGTTGTGAAAAAAAATTGTGCGTGAATTGTAAAATTGATTTTGACAATAAATAAATAAATGCGTTTGTTTACAAAGGAAACCATCCTTATTCTTTATTTTAAACCTTGCAAACATGTGTCAACGCAGAACTTGAAGCATAACGTCAAACGATTTTACATTATTGATGAATGGAGTTATGATGTTGTATGTAAAAATTGAAATCTAATTAAAATTTTGGGTGGGATGTTTGGATTAATGTTGTTTGACGAAATGTTGCCCAAAGTTGTAAAATTATTATAATTATGTCAAATTCGTTGCCATTAAGCCAAAAATGACGCAAGCAAAATTTGCTTTAAAGATTAATAAATTATAAAAGCTCTCAAAAAACTCATTCCAAGGTCTTTTTTTTTTATAATTTTCTTTGTATCCCAATCTCCTTTGTTTCATTAGTTATTCCCAAGGAGCCAGGTTTTTCTTTTGTTGAATACAAATTCAGTTCTCACACACTCATTTATACTAAACTCGAACATTTCTTATAACGTGACAGATAAATTATCGATTAGGA